ACTACAAGCCGCTTTCAAAAAAGAGCATCTAGACTACAACCAGTACTTTTGAAAAAGCAAGCCGCTTTTTCAAAAGATAGCACCTAGGCAGTCTGGATGCTTTCTTTTGAAAAGCACAGTTTATATTACATAGCAGCTTTTTTCGAAAGAGCACTTTTGAAAAAAGGCGTTATTCCTCATATAAGGAAGTTTTCCATGGTCAGAAAAACTGCCGTGTTCTTTCAATTTACTTTCAAAAGAACACGGTAGCAGTCTAGATGCAGGGGAAGTTTTTTCAAAAAAGGCCACTTTTTTCGAAAAAAAACCCTGTAGTCTAGACCCACCCACGGATGTACAAAATTATTGGGTTTACACATTTTTCATTATTTAAAAGTTTTCACAATAATGGGCAATTAGGTGGTGATCAGACAATGAGAAATGTCAGAAAGTAATCATATATATAGTAGCCCAATGTCTGTGAGTCTGTAATGCTGACGTACACGGCCCCGCCCCCTGGACGTGTACGTCAGTGCCCCGCCCTCTTGCCCGTCCTCCGTGGTGGCTCAGCTGAGTGCTGCGCCACTCAGCTGGGCCGCAGTGGGGGAGCAAGTGGTGGCAAGCGGCCGTTTGGGGTCCGTGCTCCCCATGCATGCTCTCAGCCGAGCGCCATGGCAGGAGGGGAAGGGGAGGTGGTGACGTACATAGCCCCGCCCCCTGGGCATTCAGCTGAGTACCACGGTGGAAGGGGGAGGGGAAGGGAAAGGGGGGCAGAGAGAGAGAGAGGCAGGAGGAGGAGGAGAAGAGAAAGGGTGAATGAGAGGTGGGGGGAGAAGAGAAAGAAAGACACAGAGAGAGAGGCAGAAGGCGAGAGAGGCAGGAGGCGGAGAAGAGCTGAGAGAGAGAGGGGGAGGCAGTAGGAGGAGAGAGAGAGAGAGACAGAGCTAGAGCAAGAGACCGGAGGCTCAGGAGAGAAGACCAACATGGAGGAGAGACCTGAAAATCCCATCTTATGATGGGCTAATTGACTTGTTACTTAATAATAGTAGACATAGAGATTTGAAAGTTTCAGTTTTATAGCCATTAAAACACAAATTGTCAACATCACACATTAAAATACACACAGCAAATATCTGTAAATCAAAGTTTAATAAGTTAAGCAATGTTTTTCTCACTTTGCCTATCTGTAAATTTCAATTATTAATGAAGGAATATTTTTGATGGTTTGTGCATGTAGATTGAAATAGATGTTAACTGACATATCCTGAGAAGAGTCTAATATTTCTGTGCCTCCTAAGAGGAAAGATTTTTTTTTCAAGTGAGTATATTTAGTGTTTAGACAAGATGGTAACCAGATAACAATCTTCAAATATATTGAAGGCTGTTATGAAGAGGCTGATCAGTTGCTCTCCATTTCCATTGAATATAGGAAAATAAATAATCGATTTTATCTGCAGCAAGGGGAGATTTAGATTTGATTTTAGGGGGAAAATCATCTCTAATGACAGTTAGGCACTGAATGGGCTTCCAAGGGAGACTGTAGAATCCTGATCACTGGAAGGTTTTAAGTAGAGTTTGGGCAAACACCTATCAGGAATGGTCTCATTAAACTAGGTTCTGCCTCAGTCAAGTCCTTTCCAGACCTACACTGATTCTGTGATTATGATTCTTCTTCTTCTTCTTCTTCTTTTTTTTTTTTTTTTTAAAAGAACCTCTTTTTTCCCCAGTGCCTGATTGAGATAGAACCTTGGATGAAAGCTAGCTGAATTAAATCTAAAGAAAACAGATGTGACTTTAGTTCATTGATGAAACATCTAGGGAGATTGATGGAGGAAAATTCTATTCTGGGACAAGATGTGGCATGAGTAAATGGCTTCTTTTTGGGAAGCTAGGCATGGAGTGTGTTAAAATAAGGCTTTAAATAGGTTGTTAGGTTGTATGTGAAATATGGAGTGGCTACTTCCAATCGATAATAAAATCCTTGGGAACATATGAAAGTACACTACAATATAAAGCCTCTCCAAGGCTTCATCTATAAAAATAGCCAAAATGATGAATGCATGATTATTCTGGAAGCACCGTAGCGCTGAAAGCAAGACAGTATTAACACAGAAAGTCAAGAGCAAAGGCTGGTCTCATTTATCTAGGTGAATTTAATGAAAATTCTGTCCTACAAATTCATAGCTTTCAACCCATTTTCATTTCAATCCTTAATAATAAAAATACCATAGATTTAACAAAAACATGAGTTACGAGTGCAACTCCTTACAATGGGCCAGATTCTGGGCTCTTATAATACTGATGCAAAGCAGTCTTAGGGTTTTTTTTGCTTCTACAGGGTTTTTTTTGAAAAAAGTAGCCTTTTTTTTTTAAAAGACTTCCCCTGCGTCTAGACTGCTGCTGCATTTTTTTAAAAAGTAAATCGAAAGTACGCGGCAGTTTTTTCGACTGCAGAAAACCTCATTTTATGAAGAATAATGCCTTTTTTCGAAAGTGCTCTTTCGAAAAAAGGCACTATATAATGCAAACTGAGCTTTTTTGAAAGAAAGCATTCAGACTTCCTGGGTGCTCTCTTTTGAAAAAGCAGCTCGCTGTTTCAAAGGTACTGGTTGTAGTCTAGATGCTCTTTTTCGAAATAAGCTTTTTCGAAAGTATCTTTAGAAAAAGCCTCTTTTGAAAGAGGCTTGCAGTCTAGACGTAGCCTTAAAGCAATTTTTTGGTGGCAAAGAGTTGTTGGCAAGTTCTACACTTCCCTGTCTTAGCCTCCACAGAATAGAAAATATTTAATTATACTTCATTTACTTCCCTGTCCTACCTACTCATTAAGCCCCCACCTTGACCTCCCATTTCCAAGTTTCCTGTTATTGCTTCTCCCTCCTCACTGAGCAATGAGAATCAGAGTTTAGGGCTCTGTTCCTTTAAATCAGAGGCAGGAAACCTTTTTCAGGTGAAGGGCTGCTGGCCCAAATTAAAATCAGTTGGGGGCCACACACACGTGAGAAGCAAAAAAGAAAAACGAAACCCTCACTAGAGTGGCCCCAACTGAGAAGGAGAAAGGCATTCCCCACCTTCCCCTTGCACACCAGAGCCTGGGGAAGGGGAGGCGAGGGCAGGCTAATAGATTGTATATGCTTCAGCCCCATAGACCTTAGGTTCCCACCCCTGATTTAAATACGTATTTATACCATGTGAACATCTTCATCAAGAGAGATTCAGAGAGCCTGGCTTTCCCATAACCCAAGTGAGTGTCCTAGCCACTAAGCTGTTGTCTCCTCCTCTGGCCATTTTCAGAGCCTAGCCCTTTACAAATGTCCAGAAACAAAATGTTTTCAATTGGACAAATTGCTTCATTTGACTCAACACAGCTTTTTTAAAAATTAACAGACATTCCAAGAAAGGTGTTTCAATCTAAACTTATTTTTCCCCACAAATGCTATTAGCCCCCCCCCCTTCAAAAAAAAAAAAGAAAAAAAAAAGAAAGGATATTTAACCAAGCAAGGACATATTTTATTTTGTTCAGTGAAGAAATATATACCCACAGGAAGTAAAATACAGTGAGGTACATGTGCTTATAAAGTACTTCACAACAATACAAATATAGCAAATAAAGATGGAACATGGCATGCCACAGCAAGCAGTTTGTTATGAATGTCTGAAGTCTAAGATTATTTAATTATCGTAGGTTTAATATGGCTGAGTGACCAACCTCTGGCTTATTAATGTGTAGCTACTTATATACTGTATACTTCGCGCTTGTGAATAGCCAGTTGTAAATATTCAGTATTTCAGAGAACAGGCTGGGCCGAAGAGGTGCAGAGAAGTGATTTGAATTTCAAAGAGCACAGAAAAACATCACCTGGTTAGGGGCGAATTTATAACAGACATAGCTGAAAGAGAAATCTCTGTTGTTCTAATGCTTTAGTAAATTGAAGACTTGGAAGTACGGTTTAATACTTGATAGAGCAGATTAAGAAGTCTCGTTTTTCTTTTTGGCACCAGTGTAAATCAGGAGTAACTGCACCGCAGTCATGGGAATTACACTAGTGTGAAATAGGTGTATGGGAGATCTGGATTGGATCCTGGGTGAGATTGTTTAACAGATTAAGTCTCTAATAAATTGCAAGGCAGCAGAATGTTTAGTAGTTTGCCTTTTGTGATGAAAAAATAACAAAAATAGATATATGGGTAACTGCTCAGCTTCAGGTTTCAAACAGCAGGGAAAAATAGAACACACCTGAATGTAGATTGAATATGCTATGCAATAATGATTCAAAATTATGTTATGATTTTAAAATGTGAACATCCTGTTCTTCACAGCTCTGATGCAGAAGATGACCACAATAGATACTAAAGCTTTTTAAATGTGTCCATGTAGTCTGGAAGAAGATGAGGAATTTAGAAATCCCACAGACTCTATTTGAAGACCCCGAAGTCTTGTTGCAAGAATCAGTAGAATTCTTGTTTTGTTTGTCATTTTTATTAAATCAATAATCATGGCATCTCTTTAGAATGCAAGCTTAAAAGGAAACTGAAAGATATTTGATGTGTCTATAAATGTATATGTGACCGCGTCGAGGGGTGCGATCACCCCCTACCCACAGGAAGGGGGGATCAGCGAACCCCGTCATCGGTTCTGGTCCACGGGTCTCGGAGTCTAGACCGGATGAATGTCTATGGGTGCGATCACCCCGCTCAACCGAGTCTGGGGAATCCGTGAACCCAGGGGTTGTCCACCCCTCTGTGCGGGGCTCTTCCCTGCAGTCTCGTCTGGAGACTCCCTCTCACTGGTGCTGGAGCAGCTCAAGCTCCCTACGGTGGTGGGAGGGGAGGGTGACCCGGGCCCACCCTCTTCACTGGGTCCCAGCCCGGGGCCCTAAGCACAGGGGTCTACCTGCTCCCTGTGCGATAGACGTGGGATGCACTCCTCAAACATGTCTACCCATGGATGCCAAAAGGGCCTGCCCAGGCTGCTTCCTCCCCCCCACGTATCCCTCCATCCTTCCCGTGGGGCCCCCAAGGCTTACTGTAATTTGGTCGTCCGGCGTAGGAGGCGCTTGCTCTCTATGGCTGGTTCCGGGGCCGTTCCCTCGACCCCCGAGGGGTTGCGTCGGGCCACCGGGCTCCCGGAGGGGCGGCGTTTTCCTGCTCCCGGCAACAAGCCTCTCTGGGACCAGTCTCAGGAACCGTATGCCTCCCCGCTGCCGGTGGGCCCTTTTTCAACGGCCCGCCGGAGGTGACGTGTTCCTGGCACCCGCCCCTCCCGCACCGGCGCTCGCTCACCCGCCCCATCCTGTCCATCGATCCTGACATACGCCCTCAGTGGACGCACGCCGGGGGTGGGGTTAGCCGTGGCCTGATTCCCCAGCCCCGGGGGGAGTCCCCGCAGCCAGCGCCCACTGTGTGCCGGCGCTCGTTGGCCGAGTGTTGCGGCCGGGGTCGCTGTCCCCCACGGCCCTCCTCCATGATCCTCCATGCGGGCCGCCTTTGGCCCGTCACAATCTATATTTGCCCATTGTTTCATCTAACGAAATCATTTATAAATGTTTTACTAACCACTTAATGCTTTTTTTTTTTAAATGGTTACTGCTATAATGGTAAGTAATGACTGAAAATCAACAATTTGAATCTAGGAAAGTATTCTTGTACTGAAACATATCTATATTCTCTTTCCCATTTAGTCATCCCATATCCTCATCCATCACAGGCTGCTTTGTGAACAATTTTTGATCATGATAAAAATGTTAGACTCTACAACTAGCAGTATAAAAACAATTATCAGAATACAACATGTTAGTCCAATTCATCTTAAAATACCTTTCTTTGGTTAAAGGCTTTTATGCAGATTTGTGCAGAGTTCCCCAATGAAAAACCTCTTTGAAATTCCTGTCAGGTGCTTTTTGCTTGAAGGGCTCCAGTGTGTGGGTGGCAATTTCTTTTGTATGTGCAGTAATGATCCCACTCCTTCAAAGAGATGTTTTTTTCTCTTGCTTTCATACCACATTGTAAAGTAAGAGACAGAGTGACACATGTTCTGTTTCCAGTCTTGGAAAATTTTAATGAGAATTAGTCATCTACTTTGAATACAAGTATTTTAATACACAGGTAACACCGATTGACTACTTGTTGGCTTAGTACAGTAAAAGCTGTTATCAGGCACAATTAACTATCGAGTTCAGTTAACCAGCATTTCTGATATCTTTCAATACAAATCTTTCACTCTGGTAACCGGGACTGGTATTCTGCACAGCACGTTTTACAATTGAATATTCTGTGTTCTATTTTTATGCTAGAAACAGAAGACAAGTAAGCAAGCTGATATCAGGAATATATCAACAACAAAAACCCAGCTTCCAGGGCGTGTCACTAGACTGAACCTATATGACCCTATCTCCTATACCTTCTATATCTACAATCAGAAATGATGTTGATCATGATGACCCCTTGTGCAATAATGGAACAAAAGAGAGTATGCAAGAGAAGCGCGAGAAAATGCTAATCCGCACTTCATTTGCATTGCCTCTTTCAGCAAAGCATGTAGTATAGCCATAGCCTGTGTTTTACTTGGCAGGAAAATTTTGTAAGACATATGGATGTTTTTCTCTAAAATTATGTATTTGTGTTTGTGTGTGTACATACACATATACACACTTTCTCTGTGATACATATATAATGTATGTATACGACATACATTGGAAAAGGCATTAAACAACAGTAAGTTCATGAGATCCTGCAAGGCTGTGAATTTTCAGATGTTTCCATTACTGTCTAATGGATTTCTCACAATAATCACACATTTTATATATTTATTACATACAAAAGTTACATTAAAAGAATGCTAAAATTGTTAAATTGAGCTCTCAAAAATTAGGAAATGACAAAATTCTGGTCAAGCTCTCAAAAATCAGGAAATGACAAAATTGTTGTTGCCTACATAACATTACATTCAACCTCCTTGTGCCTATCCATTTTGATAGTATTTGCATACTATCAAAGAAAACAAAACTTCATTGGGAGCTATGTGGTTTTGGTACCAGCTATACTCAGAGCCCTGCAGCACCCACAGAGGTGGCCTCTATGCTGGATACATAAGAAAAAAAGCAATTTTTTTTAAAAGCAGCTGTTTTATTTAAAAAAAAGGAAGTTTTATCTGTAGTTAATGAATTGAACTGATTGTTGCTGGTCTTTCAGGTTTTTAGAACTAGTAGATCTCATCCTGTTATGCCTAGTTTTTATTGGAAGAGATAAACAAGCTTTCCTGCTTGCTCAACTCCCATTGGTTTCTTAACTTTGAATAAGCTAGTCAGTGAACTGAACTACATGATTAAACTGAAATGAAGAACATATTTTCTCTGAACCTACCCATGAGGGAACTGCTGTCAAAAGTTAGTTCAGTCCTTCAACAAACTCTGATTCCTAGAGGTTAATTATTAAGTTCTACTAGTTTAGAAGTTTGTATTTCTTTAAAACTAATCCCTTTTAAAATTTAATTTAAATTATTTTAATAGATTATAATGCATTTAGGTGTTAATATAGTTTGTCAATTTCAAATTTAATTGTAAATGTTTATTTAAAAAACTGGACTAAACATAAATAAAAATCTGTTTTACATTAAAACACAGGTTTTAAATTTTATTTTTAAACAATCATTTTTATTCGCCCATTTAAAGACATAGGTTGAAGTTACACGAAAACAGAAATACCTCATCTTCAGAATTCAGTCCACCAAAACCACGCAAGTCCAAAATAGCCTGACTCAGTAGACTTCTAAGTAGACTTTGAAGCCTATATGCTTTCTTAATCATGCATGGTGACTATGCTGTTTTTCCCTTTCATGACAGATCACTGAAGCCATCCTACAGTTCTTTGAAAAACTCTTTGGATGTTAAACCAATACATTCTTATAGAGCTTAGTGAAGATTTAACAGCATGACTCCCATTAAATTTAACGGGAGTATTTCTGCTAAGATTACACAAAATAATTTAAATATTTAGGGCTAAAAGTGCCAAGATTAATTTTCCAGATACTTTGAGCTATTCAATTGCACACAGGTATTTTTGTGATGGATACCAATTAAAGTTGGAATTTCAATTCTTACTTCTTTCTGAATAGATTAATGAAATTTTGCCATTTACTTTGCATCTTTAAAACATTTCCCACAGAAGACAGGCAATCTTTTTCCAGCATTACAGTGTTATTCATATTATAATCAGAGATAATTAAAATGACCATCTTGGTTGCATGGTTACAAGAGTAATGGTTTTCTAAGTTTTTCAAAACTTTTAGTGATACAGCTGTTTTGACACAGCCATGCTGCTATTTTTTTGTTTTTTTGCCAGCAAAATGCTTCCACCCCCAATGAGCAGCATACACTTTGTCAGCAAGAATTCTGCTCCCAACAACATACTGTTCACACTGGCAATTGTTGCAGCAAAACTTTTGTCTGAGAGCAGGGGAATGGTAAATGTGGGTTGTGTCCCTGGTGTCATATTCAGGTGTGCTAAAAGTCCCAGACAGTTTTACTCCAGCTTTTACCGATTACACCGATACTGTATTCTGATACTTATAAGGTGTGACTACACTGCTCTGCAGTTTGGGCTACGTGGGACCCTGAAGTCCATGCCCACAGTGTCCAACATGAAGCAGATACAGTGCAGTAATTTGGTGCATACTGCTATTCACACAAACTTCAGGTCAACTCAGCTGTGTTTGGTGCAACTCTGGATGAAGGAACAAAAGGGGCTTTGAAGCACTTAAATCTTGGAGTTAGTTTGCTCTGGCTAGGCCTTCAGTGCAAGCTAAAGCAATGTAAGGCCCTTTCTTATTTATTTATCTTCTCCCAGCCACAACCCCAGGCTCTGGAGCTTCTACCACAAAAGGAAAGCTCCAGAGGCCAGCTTACCAGCTGTAGGCTCATTTAACACCTCCAGACTGGACTTGCACTTGTTATGCATTTAGTGGGAGTCTACATGATTCAATTATTAATTTAAATTAAGCTTTGTCCCATCTGTGGAACTTAGGACTATATTCTAGCAAGGTGGACAGAATCAGTGCATTAGGATACTGTCTCTCTACTGTTTTGAACCCTTCGCATTGTTTGGATAGGGGCAAAGTAAAGCAATTTGTAGCCCTAAGGAAATCACCACATTCTTGGCCCCTCCCCTGGTTCTGGCCTTCTGCCCTGCCACAGTGCCAACCTCTTGCCAAAGACATACCCTTTACCTGGAGTGGCATGTCTTCACCACAGAAACAGCAACTGGGGTACATCTAGTTAATTGGGTGAGTCAGCCCCACTGCACACTTCTGCTACACATAGGGTACATCTACACAGCAACATTATTTCAAAATATCTAGCTTTATATCAAAATAACTTAATCTGCATCTACACAGCAGGCAATTATTTTGAAATAATGTTGAAATACGGTCATGCTGGAGGACTTCTTACTCCGACTCCTGTAACCTTCATTGTATGAGGAGTAAGGGAAGTCAGAGGAAGAGTGCTCTATTTCAAAATAAGTGCTGTGTAAATGCTCTCAATTTCAAAATAAGCTATTTTGAAATAAGCAACACAATTGACATAGCTCAATTTGCGCAGCTTATTTCTAATTAAGCCCTGCTGCGTAGCCGCACCCATAGAGTCTTCCAAAGGAGGTGATGTTGGTGGTGACCTCCAGAGTAGTGCATCTTGGACTTGACTCTCTTGATTCATGGGGTAGTTCAACTCTTTGAGAGTAACTGCTTGAGCCTGTCTGCAGACTCAAGTAGATGTCACTGCATCACTTGCACTTGAGGCATGTTTTTCTTTATAACCAGGTTGGCTAGAAAGAAACCTTTTTATAAAAGTTGGCTACTACCGAAGTCCTGGGAATCTAGGCAAAATATTGCCCTGGTAAGAGAGGAAGGGAAATTTTCAGATGACAAATAGGCTATGTCTACACTACAGAACAGTTCCTGGATAGTTATTTTGGGATACTCTGCTATCCCAAAATGGCATTGCAGTGTAGATGTACCATTAGAGAAGCGGAGAGGACAGTGAGAAACCTCAGAAAAAAGTGACCAGATGAGGTGAATGGGTAACAGTA